CATCTATGCTCATCCGGGTGTTGATTGCTGGTGGGGAAGCATTTTGGACCCTTTTGGGCTTGTTGATTGTCTCCAGATGTTGTTTATGTCTACATGTCTGTTGATGGCCGATTTGTCAGTGTGGAGAGGAATGCAATCTGACTGCAAAGACAACATAAATAAAAACGAAAGAGGAAGTAAGATTTCTCTAACTCAGTGTATCCTCCTTGTGTTTCTCTACACAGCTTAGGAATTCTGGTGAATGCTTCAGGCTGAGCAAGACAAATATTTGGTTTTGTGTTGACACTACCATGGCTGATGGCTTTTGTGTGGTTTTTTTTTTTCAATGCAACCGAGCCTTTGCATTCACATTGTCTAATTTGGGATTGCTTTTAATTCAGGGAGCAGTTTTAAGGTGCAGAAAAGAAAGATGAAATTTGAAGCCCACACAGTGCTAGGCTGCATTAACATAGGGATAGAATCAAGATCACGTGAAGTATTAATACCACTTTACAAGGCCTTGGTAAGGCCACACCTGGAATATTGCATCCAGTTTTGGTCACCACAAGGTAAAAAAGATGTTGAGACTCTGGAAAGAATACAGAGAAGAGCAACAAAGATGATTAGGGGACTGGAGGTTAAAACATATAAGGAAAGGGTTGATGGAATTGGGTATGTTTAGTTTAACGAAGAGAAGGACGAGGGGGGACATGATAGCAGTATTCCAATATCTCGGGCTGCCATAAAGAAGAGGGAATCAAGCTATTTTCCAAAGCACCTGAAGGCAGGACAAGAAGCAACGGGTGGAAACTAATCAAGGAGAGAAGCAATCTAGAACTAAGGAGAAACTTCCTGGCAGTTAGAACAATTAACCAGTGGAACAACCTGCCTCCAGAAGCAGTGAATGCTCCAACACTGGAAGTCTTTAAGAAGAGACTGGACAGCCATTTGTCTGAAATGGTATAGGATTTCCTGCCTGAGCAGCGGGTTGGACTAGGTGACCTCCAAGGTCCCTTCCAACTTGATGATGATGATGATGATGATGATGATGATGATGATGATGATGGGCTGGACCCAGCTGGAAGCTCTGGGAGGAAAAAAAAATCAGCAGATTCTCCCAGTGCATCTCCTGGGGAGAGGCAACTGGATTGGGGGGGGGCGGCTTTCCAAGAATGGGGCTGAATTCCCCATTCTAAGTCTCTTCCTGCTCCCAGGACCAAGAGCAGAACTACCTTAAAGGCTCAGCAAACTCCCAGTACCCAGCCCAAGGGTCTTGCAGGCTTCACAGCTCTATTTAGAGTACAGATGGTCCTTGACTGACCACCATAACTGAGCTCCAAATGTATGTTGGTTAAGTGAGTTTTGCCCCATTTTACGACCTTTCTTGCTGCAGTTGTTAAGTGAATCATTGCCCTTGTTAAATTAGTTACATGGTCGTTAAATGAATCCGGCTTCCCCCACTGATGTTGCTTGTCAGAAGGTCGCAAAAGGGGATCACATGATCCTGGGACACCGCGACCGTCATAAATATGAATCAGTTGCCAAGCGTCTGAACTTTGATCACGTGACCAGGGGGAGGCCGCAACGGTCGTAAGTGTGAAAAACGGTCCTAAGTCAGTGCCGTTGTAACTTCGAACGATCCCTAAATGCACTGTCGTAAGTTGAAGATCCCCCTGTACTTCGATGGGTGTGAACGTGACTGTGTCACTTGCCAATTCCACACACACACACACACACACACACACATCCTTCCTCCAAAAAAAACCTTGCCGTTCTTAATTCAAAACCTCCAGCCCTAATTAACACCATCCACAATAAGATGAGGGTCAAAGAAAAAAAATATATAAGGGAGGCAGAATAATCAGGTCAGGACGAAAGATTTTTGCTCCTGCTGTAAGGAACAGGATTTTGTCTAGATCAGGGGTGTCAAACTCAATTTCACTGAGGGCCGCATCAGCATTGCGGTTGCCCTGGGGGGGGCAGGGGTGTGTGGCCAGGGTGGGTGTAGCCTACTGGGTGGGTGTGGATGGAGTGGGTGTGGCCTACTGGGTGGGCGTGACCAGTTCTACATCGTTCGCGTCAAGGGTGCCTATGGGGGGCCTGGGCAGGAGTGGGACAGATCTGAGGGTCTCTGGCAGAAGGGGGTGGGACCGGGGCAAGTGCCAAGGAATGGTCCACCAGGGCAAGTGCCAAGATGGCCACCACAAAATTGTACATTGGCTCCCGGCTGGCCTGGGCCAGGGCCAAGGCAGCGGGGGCCGTTCCCTCACTGTTTCCAGGATGGCTTCGCGGGCCACATGAAACCACTTCGCGGGCCACATCCGGCCCCCAGGCCTTATGTTTGACATGTCTGCTCTAGATAAACAAAAGCCTTTTAATTTTGTTCTCACTAGAGAATATTTGCAAAATATTTACAGGCATTCCTCGACTTATGACAGTTCATTTAGTGGCCATTCAAAGTTACAATGCCACTGAAAAAAAGGGACTTATGGCCGATGTTCACACTTACGACCCTTGCAGCATCCTCGTGGTCACGTGATCAAAACTCAGAGGCTTGGCAACTGACTCGTATTTATGATGGTTGCAGGATCCCCGGGGTCACGTGATCCCCTTTTGCGACCTTCTGACAAGCAAAGTCAATGGGGGAAGCCGGATTCACTTAACGACCGTGTTTCACTTATCAACCATGGCCAGAAAGGTCGTAAAAATGGGGAAAAATTCATTTAACACATGTCTTGCTTAACAACAGAACCTTTGGGCTCAGTTGTGGTTGTAAGTCAGAACTACCTGAATTGGGGTCCCAGAGAAAGCCGCCAGGCTAAAAAGTCACTAAAATGGTCGATCAGATTGTGGAGGTGTCATTTTATGTGCGATGTTTTTCACAAAGGAGAGATTTCGGTGCGGGGAAATTCATCTTGTACGACTGCCGTTGGTTTTCAATATCCCATTTTCAGTCATGCTTAAAATGCTTGATGGTTTTGCTCGTGAGTTTGCCTCCTGCTAATGAAATTCTATGCCCCAGCAAGCAAAATAGCAACCCTCGGCAGCAAACATGCACCGACGCAGAATGAAATGAGTATGATCATAAATAAAATTAATACTTAAATGAGGCCGGGGATGTAATTGTTTTTAAATGGGCCAGGTCCTCATTTTGTAGCTTTTTTTTTTCTTCCTTTTTTTACATTATGCATCAGAGGCCTTAGATGGATGCTGTGTTCTGGATATTAAATAAAACGTGGGTTTTCCCCCCCCACCCCCATTAAATTTGCTTTGCCTCCTTATTTGATGGAGCACCCCTGCTACCTATGCAGTTACTGCTGAGTCTTCAGCAAAACACAGCCCATTTTTCTTAATTTTAACAAGAATACTAACACAGGGAGATCTCTGCCAGTTCTTTTAGCAAGAATATGCTTCTTCTTTTTTCCCCCCAAGAAATTAATATGATTTGATTGACACCTGGAAATCCTGCAGAGAATGTCACAAATTGCACGGAGGGGTTTTGAAATTTGCATCCACGTAGTCCTTGACTTAACAACCATCATTCAGCCCAGAATTACAATCATAGATTGTGCTGGTTGTTAAGCGAGTGATCATCTGACTGATCCAATTTTATGCAGTCCTTAAGCAAACCCATTGAATCCAATGGGTGCTTTTTACCAGAAAGCAGAAACACACACATTTAAGTAAATTCCTTGACCCATTGACCCCCAGACGCTGAAAACAGGTGTAAATGTGGGCCAGTTACTAAGTGCCAAAAATGTGATCACGTGATCGCGGGGGTTCAGCCATCAAACTTCTAATCTGGGTCATAAGAACCTCTTTTGGAGACTTTTGTCATTTCAAATGGTCACTAATGACGGATCATAAGTCAAGGACTCCTGTACATTCTTACATGTGTGTACAGTGACATAGAGGTGTCCTCAATTTACAACAGTTCCGTTTAGCGAGTGTTCAAAGTTACAGCATTGCTGAAAAAAGTGACTTGTGACCGTTTTTCACACATATGGCCATTGCACATCCTCAGGATCACGTGATCAACATTCAGACCCTTGGCAACTGAACCTTTATGGCCATTGCAGTGTCCCGGGGTCACCTGATCCCCTTTTGCGACCTTCTGACAAGCAAGTCAACAGAAGGCCATATTCTCTTAACAACCCTCTTACTGACTTAACAGCTGCAGCATTCACTTAATAACAGTGACGAGAAAGATCATAAAATGGGGCAAGACTCACTTAACAAGTGACTCGCTTAGCAAAAGAAATTTGGGGCTCAGTTGTGGTCATAAAGGACTAGATGTATATGCAGGTCACCTGTGAAATGCCTATCTGGATGGATTCCAATTTGTTTCTACAAGTACAAATACTACTCAGTTTAGGGCCATTTGAGTTATGACAGACTTTTTAAAAAGCTACTTATGATCTGTCCTCAGAGTTACAACTGGCACACACATCCCCACAAGATCACGTGATCACACTTCACGTGCTTGCCGACCACTCGCATTCACGAGTAGTTGCAACATCCCCGCGGCTACGTCATCATGATTTGTGACACCCGCTGATTTCGGAAAGGATGAATGTGCTTAACAATCGCACCGTTTGCTTTATAACCAACTGTGACTTACTTTACCACCGTTGTAAAAAAAATCAGTTGTGTAATCGAGTCCGGTCCCGTAATGCCTCGACTTAAGACCAGAACAACTTAGCTCCAGGCGGTCGTAAGTCTGTATGGTAAAATAGGGTAAGGAAAAAAAATGCCATTGGAGATGTATTCAGTAGAGCAGAGATTCCCAATCTTTTTGGGCAGGGACCGGTTCCGTGGAGAGAGGTTTTTCCGCGGACCGGAGGGTGCGTGGTTTTGTGTGCTGCCCGCATCCCATGGATAGGGCTTTGCTTGTTTGTGCGGACCGGTTGCTGTTAATGCCGTGGCCCAGTACCAGTCCACGGACCGTGGGTTGGGGACCCCTGCAATAGAACAATGTTCTAATGTTTCCTAATTTATGAGGGTGTTTTTGCTTGATCTAGGAGACGAAAGTCGGGAGATTAAAAAACAGATTACAGGGATGAGAAGATTGTTGAATGACAGCACCGGGCGAATCTATCAGCCAAAGAAGGAGAAATGTTGAAGGAAGAACCCCAAGATTTAGGGCCTGGACTCCGCGTCTGAATCCTCCTGCAGACACCCAGGGACATCTCCATCCATTGCCGAGCGGGACCTGGAATGAGTTGTCTCCCCAGACCGGTCCCTATTCCGGGCAGTACGGCACCCGTTCGAAAACCAGAACCAAGCCAGAACCGTGGGCCAAACGGTACGATCTAAGTTCTATCTGTTTACTGCGTTTGACTGGATTTTCACTATGCTGAGTTCCTGGGTCACAAACGAAAACGAATCCTTTGTCCGCAGTTGGTAATATGAAAACTCCCAAGCTTTTTCTTACGTTACAGGTAGCCTTGACGTATGATCACAACGGAGGCCAAAACGTCCGTTGTTAAGTGAGATATTTGCCAAGTGTTTTTTGCCCCATTTGACCACCTCTCTTGCTACTTTGCTTGTCAAGGAAAGTCAGATTCACTTAGCGACCGTGTTACTAACTTATCAACAGCAGTGATTCAGAAGGTCGCCAAAAGGGGATCAAGTGACCCCAGGACGGTGCGACTGTTGCAGTTGCCAAGCGTCTGAATTTTGATCACATGATCATGGAGGAATGCTGCAACAGTTTTTTTCAGTCCCGTTGTACCTTTGAACAGTCACTAAATCAGTGGTTCTCAACCTGTGGGTCGGGACTCCATTTGGGGTCAAACGACCATTTCACGGGGGTCGCCAAACAACGCAGTCTGCCATTTTTCCCCCTTTTCCTTAGCTGTGCTACTCCCATTTATTCTATGGGCTTTTGAAAGTCTGCCCTGCTGAGCCCGCCAAAAGTCCCATTCAGCAAACGGTGCTGCACCAGTTGAGTAGTCCTCGACTTACGACCAGTTGAGTAGTCCTTGACTTACAACCAGTTGGGAGTCGCGACATTAAAAAGGTTGAGAACCACTGCACTAAATGAACTGTTGTAAGTCGAGGACTACCTGTATTAAATTTCCCTTCCCTGCATATTGATTATCCCAATCTGAAGATTCCATTCCACCATGTTGATTATTTTTTCCCCAAAAGCTGCCAGAATATTAACTCGGATAATTATTTCCAAAATGTTTCTTGATCAATTGGACTATTTTCCTTTATCCTTGGTGCAATTCCCAGTCTTTTATGAGGACCATTTACATCATGGTCAAAAGCTTTTCCAGATCTTCATCTGTGTTGTAATTTGTAGTACAGTGGTACCTTGGTACTCAACTGCTTTGAAGCCCATCTAATTTGGTACTCAACACATTTTTAAAGAAAATTTTGTCCTGCTACTCATCGTTTGTCTGGTACTCAACACACAAGCTAGAACTTGTCACTGTCGGCTGCCTTGTGACTTACTATATATTATTCCTGATGGGAATGATTTGTTTGGTACTCATCGTGCCTCCTGGAACCAATTAACGTTGAGTACCGAGGTTTCACTGTCATTCGTAGAATAAGCCTGGATACAGTGGCTGGGGGAATTCTGAGAATTAAAGTATTTAAGTCGTAAAGTGGCCGAGCTTGAAATCCCTGACTAAATCATCACTTAATTCAAGGTTATCTTGGTGGAACAAGCCTGGATGGTGAGGAGATGAAGTCTCTACCCAAATACAATAGCAAACAAATCAAAAAAACAAGGAAAATATATAGTAAGTCACAAGGCAGCCAACAGCGACAAGTTCTAGTTTGTATTGTTGAGTCCAGACAAACGATGAGTAGCGGGACCAAATTTTCACTTAAAAATGCGTTGAGTACCAAATTTGAAAAGTTCTAACAGTTGAGTACCAAGGTACCACGGTAAACAAATTACAAAAGGGGCAACAGTGGTAAAAGTTTTTGACAATGATGTTACCAACAAGTTTAAAACTAAAGATTGGGTAGCCCTGATTTAGTCAACAAGCCTGTTTCTGAAATCTGGGTTGGGTCTCCCCAAAGAGAAACCGCCAAGGGAGAGAGTTTAATCTGATCAACTCCTAATAGACAAAATGATCTTGGAATTTGCAAGAATCTGTGACCAACTGAATGTGTATGGCATGCAGTGAAAAAGTTCCTGACCTCACAGTCATGGGCGGATAATAAATGCTTTTTTTTCCAGTGTGTTAGAAACATCAGAAAATTTGTTAAAGATGATGGCACAATGGAAGATGAACCTTGCAGATCAACATGAAAAGCTGGAGCTGACAATATCAAGAGAGGAATATTTCAAGGAGATTCATTATCACCATTACTATTTGTTATTGCAATGTTTCCTCTGTCAACAATACTGAATAACTCCAGGAGGCTATCAAACATCATTTTTTTCTTTCTCCCTATCCCACCTCCTTTATCTGGATACCTCATTAGTATGGAAACATGTCGAAAAAAATGAAAAAGAACACTGTCAGCGTATATAGCCAAGATATTGTTGGAGTCCTCTCAGAAATGTGAACAAGACTAAAAGAATCAAAAATAGTGAAAACTGAAGGAATCAAGATGCCCCAGAAAATAACCATTGAGTCTGATGAGGAAGTTAAGTACAAATACTTGATATCCTTCAAGCTGAAAGCCAAGCAATTGTGGTCAAGAAAAACCATGAGGTGAGACAGGAAGAGATGAAAAGATCTCGCCTTTACACTCAATGGGCTTCACCATAAAGGCCGCAACACTGGGCAATTTACAGAGTTAGGTATTGCCTGGAATAGTGGAATGGACATTTTAAGAACTAAAGCAATGGGAGGCTGAGTCAAAAATAATGACAGGAATGATGCCTGGCATCCACAGACATTTCCTGACTTTATGCATTGTAACAACTGCACCACCACGACTTAGATAGTACATAGATGGTAGAGAGAAAAAGATAGATTGAAGAATATCTAAGAGACAGATCTTTTTGCACAATTTTATATCAGGTGGCTTCTAACTACTGAGAGTAAACTGGCCTACAAGAAAGACAATGACAGAATAGAGGCATGGGAAACAAAGGATACCTGGCCAATACATTAAAAAAATTCTTCAAAAGCAGATAAACTGCTTGTGTAAAGGTAAGAGCAGAAAATTGAAGAAAGAGACCGGACTCTAATTCTGGCTGCACAAGACCAAGCCTTAAGGACAAAGTGAGATTTAGTCAAAATTTGAAGACAGCAACAGACAGTAATGCCGCAATTGCAAAGAAGAGAAGAAAAGTGGACCACGCCTGTAACTGTTCAAGAAGGCAGCACAATTTTAAAGCAGCCCTGGAGCAAGTAGCAACAATGGTTTTGCAAGATGTGGGGAAGAGAGTCATAATAATAATAATAATAATAATTAATATATATAGTAAGTAGATAATGGAATAATACATACAGAATAAAAGACTAATAGTATAATAGTCCTGGAAGGAGCACCTTGGGCAGGCTCAATTGCTAGTGCTTCCCTGCGAACCCCATCTCTGCTATCAGGTCAAGGAAACCCAAATCCAGTCTGACATCATGTTGGGACAAATGGCTGTCCAGTATTAGTCTCTTCTAAATAAATACCATTCCAGTGTTGGAAGCTCGATTTCCTTCTGTGCGCATAATAATAATAATAATAAAGTTGAAGGGATGGAGGTCATCTAGTCCAACCCCCTGCTCAGGCAGGAAACCCTATACCATTTCAGACAAATGGCTGTCCAGTCTCTTCTTAAAAACTTCAGTGTTGGAGCATTCACCACTTCTGGAGGCAGGTTGTTCCACTGGTTAATTGTTCTAACTGTCAGGAAGTTTCTCCTTAGTTCTAGGTTGCTTCTCTCTTTGGTTAGTTTCCATCCATTGCTTCTTGTCCTGCCTTCAGGCACTTTGGAGAATAACTTGACTCCCTCTTCTTTGGGGCAGCCCCTGAGATACTGGAACGCTGCTATCATGTCCCCCCTTGTCCTTCTCTTCATTAAACTAAAATTAAATTAAATTAAAAGTTGGTCTGGCTAATGGTGTGGATCTCTCTCATGCTTTTTTCAGGCGGAATCCCTGTGACTAACGCCTCCTCTGGATCAAATTGTTGCACTTGCAATTGTCAACCAGCGCTTCAGGCCATTCTTCAGGAGCTGAAGACCATGAGGAAGATCATGCAGATCCAAGCTGGTAGGACAATCCATCTTTCACACCAACACACACACACACACACACACACAAAAGTGTGATATTCTTAGACCGTCCCTCTCATTTTATGGAGTTGGCCTCAAAGAAAATGTCAGCGGAGGTTCTCAGCCGCCCAGGTCATGGTTGTCCCAAAAGTGCTTTTTTTTTTTTTTTTTCAAAAGGCAACTGGACTTTGTTCTTCCTTGAAGAGATTTCGCTTCTCATTGCAGAAGCTTCTTCAGAATTGATCTGAAGCTGAACTGAAGAAGCTTCTGGGATGAAAAGCGAAACCGCTTCAAGGGAAAAACCAAGAAAGTCCAGTTGCCTTTTTTTAAAAAAAATGCACCTTTAGGACCTCAAACAAAATGCTTCTAAATAAATGTAGGGTATATTATTATTATTATTATTATTAATAATAATAATAATAATAATAATATTGTGCAAATCTGTTTATCGTATGGAACACTTCACCCAATGGCATTTTTTTTGAAGGGATCTGCTAGCAGTCTTCAATTTAGGACCATAAATTCTTGGGCCCAGAATTTCCGTTGCTAAGTAAGGTGGTTATTCAGTCAGTTGTGCCTAATTTTATGACCTTCTTCATCACAGTCGCTAAGTGAATCACTGCAGTTGTTAACTGAACCATATAGACCAGAGGTAGGCAATCTTGGCTCTTTTATGACTTATGGACTTCAACTCTCAGAATTCCTGAGCCAGCTGTGCTGAGGGGAAGGTTTCCAAGCTGAGTCATACTGGCTCAGGAATTCTGGGAGTTGAAGTTCACAAGTCATGAAGGGGCCATAGTTCCCCCATGCTGGCTCAGGAATTCTGGGAGTTGAAGTCCACGAGTCATAAAAGAGCCAAGGTTGCCTATCCCTGATATAGACATTAAGCGAATCTGACTCCCTCCCATTGACTATGTTTGTCAAAAGCTGGCTGGGAAGGTCACAAATGGCAATCACGTGACCCTGGGACACAGCAACCATCATAAAAACATGCCAAGCCCCCCATTTTGATCCCATGACCGTGGGGATGCTGTAACAGTCATAAGTGTGAGGACTAGTCCTAAGTCACTTTTTTTTAGTGCCACTGTAATTTCAAATGGTCACTAAACAAGTTGAGGTCCACTTGCCTGCGGGTGGAGATACAGGTAGTCCTCATCTTATGGTCACAACTGAGCCTCAAAATTTTGTTGCTAAGTGAAACAGTTGCCAAGTGAATTTTGCTCCCATTTTACGACCTTCCTTGCCGCAGTTATTAACTGAATCACTGCGGTTATTAAATTAGTCACCTGGTCATTAAGTGAGTCTGGCTTCCCCTATTGACTTTGCTTGTCGGAAGGTCAGAAAAGGCGATCACGTGATCCCAGAACACTGCAACCATCATAAGTATGAATCAGTTGCCAAGCATCCGAATTTTGATCCTGAGGATGCTGCCCCCGGTCATGTGAAAAACCATCGCAAATCCCTTTTCCCAGTGCCGTTGTAACTTTGAATGGTTACTAAACGAACTGTGGTAAATTAAGGACCACCTGTATTTCTTTCAACAGTTTTGCTTGCCTTTGGTTCCACCCAAAACATGTTGATTCCTTTAGATCAGTGGTTCTCAACCTTTTTAATGCCGCAACCCCCAACCGGTCGTAAGTTGAGGACTACTCAACCGGTCGTAAGTCAAGGACTACTCAACTGGTGCAGCACCGTTTGCAGAATGGGACTTTTGGTGGGCTCAGCAGGGCAGAGACAGCCTGGACAATTCCTATTGGCTTTTGAAAGCCAATAGAATTAAACTCTATTCAAGAGAGTCTATTCTATTGGCTTTCAAAAGCCAATAGAATAAAAGGGAGTAGCACAGATAAGGAAAAGGGGGAAAAAATGGCGGACTGCGTTGTTTGGCGACCCCTATGAAATGGTCGTTCGACCCCAAATGGGGTCCTGACCCACAGGTTGAGATCCCTTTGCTCAACCTTGCTGACTTTTAAGTTTGGGTGGACTTCAATTCCCAGAATTCCCCAGCCAGCTAAGCTTAGCTGGCTGGGGAATTCTGGGAGTTGAAGTCCACCCATATTAAAAGTCTGCAAGCTTGAAAAACACCGCTTTAGATGTTTGTTCAACATCTTTCCTCATGGAGATCCTTTCAACGGTTACTCCGTGTATCCCCATCCTTGTTTCCTTCCGCGAATCTGTGGGGCTTTTGTGAGTTTTGAGGGCCAAACGAGGACACAGGAAGCCGAGATGGGAAGCAACGTTTGGCATTTCCTAAATGAATTTCACAAACGTCTTAACCTCACTCTCAGCTATATCTTTTTTCCTCAGCAGCTGCTCAGAACCGACAACAGCCTTCCGTTCCTCCGGCTACCTTGCAGAAATCCACCATCTCAAGAAAGAGGAATAAAAAGAAAAAAACGCCCCCAAAGACTCTTGAACCCCTTTCGGTGAAACAGAAGGCCGGGGCTGTCGCGAACGACAAGAAGTTATCCCCAAATTCTGACAGGCCGAGTGGGCCCACCGTCGCTGAATCCTCCTCGAAAATGGAGCCCCAGGTTTCAGGATTCGGCATCGTGCTCGAATCTTCGTCTTTGGATGTAAGTGGGTGAGATGGCGATCAATTGCAGTTAGTCCTCGGCTTGCAACTGTTTCGTTTGGCGACCATTCAAAGTTACAGGCTGGAAAAAAAAGTCATTTTTCACACTTAACGACTGTAGTAGCATCCCCATGGGTCACGTGATCAAAATTCAGACGCTTGGCAACTGACTCGTATTTATGACGGTTGCAGAGTCCCTGAGTCGCGTCGATTCCCTTTGGCGACCTTTTGACAAGGAAAGTCAATGGGGGAAGCCAGATTCACTTAACAACCGTCTTGCTAGCTTATTAACTGCAGTGATTCACTTAACAACTGTGGCAAGAGAGATCATAAGAAGGGGCAAATTCACTTAATTGTCTCACGTAGCAACAGAAATTTTAGGCTCCATTGTGGTCATAAATCAAGGACTTCACTGTATTGAAAACCTTCCATTGTTGATTAAATCATCATCGTCATCATCTTCATGACAGTTCTGGCCCCCGTGTCCTAGATTTTTCCAGCCATTCTTAGAATAATATTACTTTCCTAGGGGACATTTCGTTAATCCATCAGACAGAACATCAAAGCTAATCAAATGTATGCTCTCTTTGTGTTTTGAATATATCTTATTATTTTTCCCAGAAGAGTTTAGCGTGCAGACACATGCAGAAATGGCATAGCCTGCCAAATCCATATGGAGGCTCATTTCCAGTTTAAATCTTTCTGAGAAAGAAATCAGCATTGAAATGGGTCACAATTGTTTTCTTCAGTTTGTACCACTTTGGGGCTTAGTGGCTGCCTTGCAAATGAAACCTTGGAAATCTTTTGGTGCTAAGTCTTAGTACTAAACTTACTTAATCCCGCCTTTATTATTTTTCAAAAATAATTCAAGGAAGTGAACATAGCTAATATTACTTCCTTCTCATTTTCCCCACAACAACAACACTATGAGGTTGGTTGAGCTGAGAGAGGGTGACTGGCCCAAGTTGGCTTTCATGGCTAAGGAAGAACTAGAATTCGCTGTCTCCTGGTGATTAGCCCAGTTACCCAATCAGCTCTCATGCTTAAGGCGGAACTAGAACTCACAGTCTCCTGGTGATTGGCCCAAAGTTCCCCAATCAGCTCTCATGCCTTAAGGCAGAACTAGAACTCACAGTCTCCTGGTGATTGGCCCAAAGTGCTCTCATGCCTAAGGCAGAACTAGAACTCACAGCCTCCTGGTTTCTAGCTTCATGAAGCTATTCAAGGAGAGAGCTACCAGTCTTTCTCTTCCATTTCTAAAAAGGCTGTTGGTTATCAGAATATATTTTCAGAAATGGTCGCTAGGAGTCCCAAAGGATTTGATGACACATAATCGATGAATACGGAAGAGAACACGGCTGTTTTCTTCCGCATGCAGTGGGAAACTAGTTGTGTGTCAAATTATTTTTGGGCTGGAGTTACAAGAATTGGAAAAAGCATAGCAGTTTGCCATAACCCCCTGAGCCCGCCTTCATTTCGAGTGAACGGTGTGACCCCTCCAGAATGGCTCCCTTGAATGCATGGTGACAGATTTGAAACAAATGGCTTTTCAGTTTCGAGAAGAATATTTTCCGCAGCAATATGAAGCAAACCCACTTTGTGGAAAAGGATGTTTTACGCGCCGGCTGTTTTCTCTCCCAGCTCCATGTTAATTCGTCCATTTCCTTCTGCCAGAATGGGCATCATCCGTTCGGTTTTATGACTAACCTAGACAGGAGCAGCACAAAGCTTAATGGGTGTAAAGTTCTCCCCTGCAAGTCGGTAATGATCCTTCATTAATTAACGGAGGGGGGTCTGTAAAAAGCCCCATCACGGCTCTATGCAGGACGTCTTGAGTAGTGAAGGAGGTTCTCCTGAGCAGGTGGAGCAGCTGAGTTTGTCTGTTGTGTAGAAAAACAATGACTCACGCAATGAATTAGTGCAGATCACAGCTTGGGGCCGAGTTGCTTATGCGTCACACCTTTGGGTCAAGCTCCCCCATTTTGGCTCCCTCATAATCACCCAAGAAAACATGCAGTACACCCCAACCTCCTGCACAAATACAGGTAGTCCTCGGCTTACGGCCAGAATTGAACCCAACATTTCTGTTACTAAGTGAGAACATTCGTTAAGTGAGCTTTGCCCCATTTTACGACCTTTCCTGCCCCGGTTGTTAAGTGAGTCACACAGTCGCTAACTGGATCTGGCTCCCCCACTGGCTTTGCTCGTCACAAAAAGAGGATCACACGACCGCAGGACACTGCAACGGTCATAAGTACGAGTCAGTGGCCAAGAGTCTGAATTTTGATCGCGTGATCCTGGGGATGCTGCAACGGTCATCAGTGTGTGAAAAACAGCCTTAAGTCACTTTTGTCAGTGCTATTGTCACTTCAAACGATTCACTATATGAACTGTTTGTAAGTTGGGGACCCGTTGTAGTTTGCAAGTGGAATTTGAAATGTCAAAATGGAGAGCTGGAATTTTAGAAATCAGCGTTTGATATTTCCCCCCCCCCCCTTTTGAATCGGATGTTTGTCGAACGATTGTCTGGGAAGCCAAAATAGCAGCTTCTCAGCCAGGTTGAAGATGAGATTGGGAAAGATTGGGGAGGAAGCTGAGCGTCCCGTTCTTCCATGTACCTTTTTCATTTTGAGAAGGCCGTTTCCAATTTCCTAAGTACACCCAGATCGCGGAACATAATTAAATTCGGCATCGGTGATCATAAAAGAAAGGAGATAAGGTGCCTTTCTAGAAGTGTAAACTAATAATACCAAAAGGAGCAGTCTGATAATTCACTTACACGGAGGCAGAGCGATGCCGGGAATTAGATTAGTATCTCGTGCCGCTAAGCCAGTGGTGGCGAACCTATGGCATGGGTGCCAGAGGTGGCACTCAGAGCCCTCTCTGTGGGCACGCGTGCCATCACCCCAGTCCTAGACCTTCAGTTGGGTTTTATAAAACCTTTTCGCTTTAGGCCTCTGCCGCCATGTGCAAAAAAAAAGGTCAGTCAATTTCAACTTCTCGCGGGGGAAAAAAAGATCTTGCAAAGTTGAAATTGATTGAACTTTTTAGTCCCATCCAGTCTGCCGTTACCACTGCAGCCACGCCTACCCAATGGGCCACGCCTACCCAATGGGCCACGCCTACCCAATGGGCCACGCCCACCCGGCACTCGACAATGCATAAGTGGGTTTTGGGTTGTAGTTTGGGCACCCAGTCTCTAAAAGGTTCGCCATCACTGCGCTAAGATCTATATCGTGCTCCATAATAAAGGGCTCCATGCATTTATTTATTTATTTATGTTGTGCTGCTGGTGCTGTAATTAAAATTTAAAATGTCTGGAAGGAGAGGAAGTGGGAAGTTCTCCTTTAGTTTTACGACTTAGTCTGAATTTTGTCTTAATTTTGGTCTTCAGTTTATCAGAACTTTGAACACCCAGGCTCCATTTTTTTTAAAAGCACATCAATGCAACGAAAATTGAAGTCTGACAGAAAAACCTTGGTTTTTCTAGACAAAGACCTTGCTCTTGTGACTTTTTGGATTTTTTTTTTTTAAATAAGTTTTAATTATGTCTTTCTAAAGTGCAGTGTTAAAAATATAGTTTGGACGATAAATTGGTATTTCTCAATGAAGATTTCAGAAATGCTATGATGTTTGTTTGGGTTTAATCTCATGAATGCAGCCTTATGGTATTCTGAATCCAGGAACCAATTAACAATTCTTCTTAATTATATTTTCTGTTCGTTTCAATGAAGGGGGAATAATCCGTCGAATTGGCAAAGAAAATATCTTTTAATCGATAACATTTTATAAATGCTTAGGGTTAATTCTGATTTGCGGTTTATTCATTTTAGCCCAACAGAGTTGAGCAAATTTCTTATTAGTGTTAATTATGTACACAATTGCCTTGATTATTTTGTGTCATCAAACTCTGTTTAACTGTATACTTGGAGATGGCCATGAGAAACTCAATTGGGTACTGATTGCTTGCCACTGAAAGATAACTCACCACTAAAGGAATCTGGAATAAATCAACATTTTATTTTATGCCACCGGAATACAAACAGATTCATTTAGGAGACATACACAAACAAAATTGCGATAGTTTTGTTAGATCTCTAATTAAAGCTTAATCTTCTGTGTGCGGAACCTTGATGAAGAAACCTATTTCAGTCCTTTTTCTAAAATAAGATTTTTGACAGATTTATAGTCCTGCTTTTTTCAGGATTATTGTTGTGGTTATGCAATAGTCTGCTTGTTAGAAACTGCAGGCTCATTATAGAAGATCATGTGTGCTCATTGTAGAAGGTTGTCAAATTTTATTCTGCATTCTGACATTGCCTTGGAATTCACTAATTACGCTGCTGTTTTTATCCTGGTTTTGGTCTTCCGGAGCGGAATCTGAAGTGACTTGCTTAATTTCAGATCAAATCTGCAAAATTTACAATTGCCGTTTGCCTCGGATAGTTAACTGGCTGAATATTAATAGACAGAGAAAGGGACAGTTTACAATTCAGGGCTTTGTGCGAGTGTCTCTCCAGTTAAGTGTGTGTGGTTGTGTCTCATGGGCAAAGGGTGCTTTTTCTGGAAAGTTGTGACTTCCAAAGTCGCCCAATGCTTGTTTACTGCAGGGGCCTTCGAACTTGGCCCCATTATGACTTGTGGACTTCAACTCCCAGAATTCCTCAGTCAGGCACGCTGGCTGAGGAATTCTGGGCGTTGAAGTCCACAAGTCATAAAAGGGCCAAGTTGGAAGAGCCCCTGGTTTACTGGATTAACTGTGCTGTCAGCTGCAAAATGTATAGTGTCTCCAGCCATCATAAAACCTAGGCAGGGTTTGCAGTAACTTAAGGTCAACTAGTCCTGGTGCAAGTAGTCCTCAACTTATGACCACAATTGGCCCTCAAATTTCTGCTGCTAAGCGAGACAGTTGTTAAGTGAGTTTTACCCCATTTTACGACCTTTCTTGCCACTGTTGTTAAGCCAATCACTGCAGTTGTGAAGTGAATTAAGTCCCCATTGACTTTATTTGTCTGAAGGTCGCAAAAGGGGATCGCGTGACACCCGGGCCACGGCAACCGTCATAAATATGAATTTTGATCACATGACCATGGGGATGCTGCAATGGCTATACATGTGAAAAACGGTCATGTCACTTTTTTTCAGGGCTCTTATAATTTCGAACCGTCGCTAAGCGAACTGTTGTAAGTCAAGGACTATCTATAAATATATAAGCATACAGATAACCATCTGCCTGGAATTTTCCCCGATTATTAACATTTATTACTGATAATAATACGTGTACACCTGGTAGAGAATGTATTATTTCCCATTTCCATTTTCAATGGAGGGTTAACGTTTTTAACTGAATGAATCAAAACTGTTCTGGCGCCAGTTTAACACAGTTGTGTCTGTGCGTAATACAATTCACAGCGCCTGTATACCTGTATTTGCACCAATGTATTCAGCCTGCAGAATGATGATGCTGCTAATCATACCTTGTTGTACCTTTTCCTTTTTTTCTGATAGCCAGAAGTACAGCTTGCTGAAGGTTTTGACGTTTTCATGCCTAAATCACAACTGGACTCTATATTAGCAAATTACACTCGCTCAGGGAGTCTCCTCTTTCGAAAACTGGTGTGTGCGTTTTTTGATGACAAGACGTTGGCCAACTCTCTGCCGAATGGCAAAAGGAAAAGAGGGCTCAATGACAACCGGAAAGGACTAGACCAAAATATTGTGGGTGCAATAAAAGGTATTTTTCCTGATGATTATATTTTATTATAATGATCATGATTGATCACTTGTTGTACACTTGAGAACTTATGCACCGAAGGCAAATTCCTTGTCTATCCAATCACACTTGGCCAATAAATTCCATTCCCATTCCATTCCTGTTCTGTTCCATTCCGTTCCTAGTTCATTCCTAGTCCGTTCTGTTCTATTCTGTTCCGTTCTATTCCCATTCTATTCTGTTCCGTTCCTGTTCCATTCCATTCCTGTTCTGTTCCTATTCTGTTCTGTTGTGTTTCTATTCTATTGTTGTGTTGTGTTTCTATTCTGTTGTGTTTCGTTTCTGTTTCTATTCTATTCTATTCTATCCATGAGTTGAGGACTACCTGTAGATAGATAGATAGATAGATAGATAGATAGATAGATAGATAGATAGATAGACAGACAGACAGACAGACAGACAGACAGACAGACAGACAGATGATAGATAAGTAATAGATAGATGATAGTAATGATGAAGAAGATAGATGATACAGACTATAGAAAATAGAAAAATGATGGATGGATGGATGGATAGATAGATAGATAGATAGATAGATAGATAGATAGATAGATAGATAGATATAGACATAGGTAGGTAGGTAGATAGATAGGCAGACAGACAGACAGACAGACAGACAAACAGATGATAGATAAGTAATAGATAGATGATAGTAATGATGAAGAAGAAGATAGATGATACAGACTATAGAAGATAGAAAAATGATGGATGGATGGATAGATAGATAGATAGATAGATAGATAGATAGATAGATAGATAGATAGATAGATAGATAGATAGATAGATATAGACATAGGTAGGTAGGTAGATAGATAGGCAGACAGACAGACAAACAAACAGATGATAGATAAATAATAGATAGATGATAGTAATGATGAAGAAGAAGATAGATGATACAGACTATAGAAGATAGAAAAATGATGGATGGATAGATAGATAGATAGATGATATAGACATAGATAGATAGATAGACAGACAGACAGACAGACAGGCAGGCAGGCAGGCAGGCAGGCAGGCAGACACAGACATCTGAAATATGTATCTGAATCAGTTTTCAGTTCCATCCAGCTGCTGATCTCCCTCGAGTGGCACCAGTAGGCACCATTCTAATAATAAGATTTCTTTTATTGACTTGATAGTGCCACCCAAGTGATAGGATTTGAGGAACTCTGCTGGGCTTCAGCAGGGACTCTCCTAGACACAAGTAGCAAGTGATGCCACTGTGGAAGTTCGCTCTGCCTGTCTCTATTTATTACACGTTGACTTCATAAAGCCATTCTTCAAGACACTGTAGATCCATTTTGTTTCTTCTGGTGGCTCAGTCAGCCTTCGATCTCATTAAGAATCGGAAGGTTTTTTTTTTTTTAATCTACTTGGCAGGAGAGAGACCTTCCAGAAGATCTAGTCTCAAACTTTGGGCACTCTGTCCCATTAGTACAGATTGAGCAGGTTGTGTCCAATAAATCAGTTGGAGGGGGGGTGTAAAGACTTTTCAGGGATATAATTCATGTCACTTCCAATATCCCTGTGGTATTTTTGGAGAGGGGAGTTGTTTTACTACTGAAGAGCTAATCAGCAAAGAGGATGCTAATAAGGCCATTAAAAGCATTCTGGTTGAGTGGAGCTTTTGACGTCAAACTCTACTTGCCTTCCAAACCGATTTTTCCATACATTTTTATCACTTGCTTTCGCTGCTGTTTCTGTTAACCCTTGTCTCTGTTCTTTTTCTCAAATGCATCCTTCTGAAGCAGGGGTTCTCAACCTGTGGGTCGGGACCCCATTTGGGGTCGAACGACCATTTCACGGGGGTCGCCAAACAACACAGTCCGTCATTTTTTCCCCCCTTTTCCTTAGCTGTGCTACTCCCTTTTATTCTATTGGCTTTTGAAAGCCAATAGAACAGACTCTCTTGAATAGAGTCTAATTCTATTGGCTTTCAAAAGCCAATAGGAATTGTCCAGGCTGTCTCTGCCCTGCTGAGCCCGCCAAAAGACCCATTCTGCAAACGGTGCTGCACCAGTTGAGTAGTCCTCGACTTACGACCAGGTGTCGTAAGGCATTAAAAAAGTTGAGAACCACTGTTCTGAAGTCATACAGTATCTCAGCTTCAGGCTAAACCCTGGCCTAAAACTTATTTCCTAAGGTATCCCTGGAGCTCCGTCCAGATGCAATGGTGAAAAAACATGGTTGCATCTCTTTCCACCTCCTCCTCCCAAAAAAGGGGGGGTGAACCCCCTCCCAAACCTGGCTAAATCCGCATGTGTGATAGAGCTCCTGCCCAAATAGCCTTAATTGTGGTCCTCAAAGATCAAGAACATTCCTGCGCAGTCCAGTTCTTTTTAAACAACTTCGTTAGATAGCTTGTTGTAGCTCATGTTTTGCTCTGTTTCGGAAATGCTCTTTGATTAAGGAAATATTTTGGCCTCTGACTTCCTAACTGTTGAAATATACTCATAAGCCAAAGAAAGGAATTGTTGGTCTGTTGTTGATGGCAATCATTCTCCTTTATTTTTTCTGATGTCTTTTCCAACTGGGTCCTTGGTGCTCTCTGAGCTTTGTGGTTTTCTTGCAGACGTTTCATGACCCAGCTAGGGAACATCATCAGTGCTAGAAGGGGGGAGGAGGCGACAGAAGCAGAGGAGGAGGAGGACTGTGGGGTCCTTGGTGCTTTCTGAGCTTGGTCGTTTTCTTGCAGACGTTTCATGACCCAGCTAGGTAACATCATCAGCAAAACCCACTTCCTTCTAGCACTGATGATATTACCTTGTTGGGTCATGAAACATCTTCAAGAAAACTACCAAGGGCAGAGCTTTGTTCTCTGAGTTTGTGGGGTGGTTTCCGAATGTTTCATCACCAGGCTAGGTAACATCTTCAGCTGAGTTGAGGAGGTGTCAGTGTCGGTGTTCTTCTGACGTCACCTCCCCATCACCAGACCTACTGACCACACCTGAAGCCCTTATAAGCAGAAGAACACCGACAGCCCCTAATTTCCCCTGAAGATGTTACCTAGCTTGGTAACAAAATGTTCGGAAACCAACCCACAAGCTCAGAGAACGAATCTTCACCCTCATCCTCCACCCGAGCTACAGAACTTCGCCACCGTCGCAAAACCATCAAGCTCAGAGAGCCCCAAGCACCCCCACCGTTCCACCCCGAGCTAGAGAGGGTTCAGCTCCACCCATCTTAATGTTTCTCTCTGTGATGACCCAGAGCACAGCACCGAGGCAATGCAGTCAGCTGGCAATTCAAACTGCCCTTTAATTGCCCCAAATTTTCCCCAAAGGAAGACACATGCACCTTCAGCTGCCTCTGGCTGCAAGTAGTTTCACACAGAGTCTGATTAGAAGAGTAATTTGCTCAAGGCCACGGAGATAACAAGGAATGACACATACATCCAAAATCTGACGAGTCTGTGGAAATACCAGCTTGCCTGAGCAGTTTCAGAAGAGAAGCCAAAATATAACCCGAGGTCTTTGAACATCCAAGCAACGTAGTCAGTCAGTCCAATGGTCAGAGTTTCCAGGTTTCCAAGCAGAAGTCACAGAACAAGAGATCAGCAACAACACACACAAAACTCCAAGGAATCAGTGTTTGTTCCCAACAAATGCCTCTCCCCACAGCGTCTCCCTAAGTTTCAGTCTCCAGGTGTTCCTTGTGGAGAAGGGCGGGACGCTCTCCTCCCGAGTAGCTGAGCCTGCCTGCGTTGTTCCCTCCTTCTCTCCAATCTCCGTGCTCTAGGATCAGGTGGGGGTGGCCCTTGCTCATCGCCTGAACTCTGCCTCTCCTGCTCCTCCTGTCCCAATCCTGAAGGGCCCTGGCCTGCCTCGGCCTGCTCTTCCCCACATTCCTCTGAAGCCACAGACCCCTCTCCCTCGCCCTCCATAGGGTCCCATTCCAGCTCATTTTCCTCCACAGATTCAGACTCCGATGGAGGCATGACACTCTTCTCCAGACCTTCTCGATTTATATGTCTGTGGGACAGGATGTGGGAAGGGGTGGGGGGAGAGCAGAATCAGGGGCATCACCTTAGAAGAGATTTTTTTTTTTTTTTTGCTTTGCTGGACTTTCCACAGCTAGTCCTTGACTTACAACAGTACACTTAGCGGCCGTCCGAAGTTACAGCACTGAAAAAAGTGACCTGTGACCGTTTTTCACACTTACGACTAGTGCAGCATTCCCGCGGTCTCGTGATTTATATTTGGACGCTTAACAACTGTCTCATATTTATGACAGTCGCAATGTTCCCAGGGATCACGTGATCCCCCTTTGGCGACTTTCTGCCGAGCGAAGTCGATGGGGAAGCTGGAGTCACTTAAACACAGTGTTACTAACTTAACAGCTGCAGGGATTCAGTGAACAAATGCGACAAGAAAAGCTGTCAAATGGGGGCGAAACTCACTTAACAAATGTCTCACTTGGCAATATAACTTTTGGGCCCAATTGTGGTCGTAAGGCGAGGACTACCTGTCATATAACAGCAGGACAAAGCCTTTATTCCCTCTATTAGCCACAGTCTTCTCCAGAAATGCATGTTAGGGCTACTAAGATACGTCACCTGATTTTAGTCTGTTTTTTTTTTTTTTTTTTTGCTTTCCCATTGCAGTGTTCACAGAAAAATACTGTACTGTAAACCACGTGGATAAACTTCCTGGCCCGAGAGACTGGGTACAAATTCTGCAGGATCAAATCAAACTGGCCAGAAGACGGTTGAAAAGAGGATCAGGTTAGTGAGAAGGAGGAAGGAGGGAAGGGGAGAATGTGAAAGAGAAAGGCAAAAAGACCCTTACCATCCTTGCCGTGAAGTTGAGGAAGGGGGTTTATGTTTCCAAATGAAGGTTAAGCCTGGATCTCTGTCCCTCTTCATCTTTTTTCTTTCCTCCATATTCTCAGTCTGGAGTGAAGGCGGGAATGTCCCACATTCAGAAGTTTTCCTTTTGGGGATAATGCAGAGGATTTTCTATAGGGGTTAGGGGTTGGGGTTACAGTTAGGGTTAGGGGTTGAGGTTAGGAGTTGAGGTTGGTTGGGGTTGGGGTTAGGGATTGGGGTTGAGTTAGGGGTTGGGGTTGAGATTAAGGCATGGGTCAGCAACCCGCGGCTCCCGAGCCGCATGTGGCTCTTTAAGCCTTCTCCTGCGGCTCCCAGCCTCCTCTGCCATTTGCAGAGAGAGACAGAGAGAGGCACTTGCGCTTCCCTTCTCTCTCTCTCTCTCTCTCTCTCTCTCTCTCTCTCTCTCTCTCTGTGTGTGTGTGTGTGTAAAAGAGAGTGGCCTCATGCTGTTCTCAAACTTATTGGACGGGGCTCCTGCCTTTGCTGCGTCTCAGCAGGAAGCAGCAGAAAGTAGCATCTCTCTCTCTTTCTCTCTCTCTCTCTCTCTCTCTCTGTGTGTGTGTGTGTGTGTATCTGTGTGTGTGTGTGTGTGTGTGTGTGTGTGTGTGAAAAAGAGAGTGGCCTCATGCTGTTCTCGGACAAGCTGACAAGCTTATTGGACGGGGCTCCTGCTTTTGCTGCGTCTCATCAGAAAGCAGCATCTCTCTCTCTCTCTCTCTCCACAGCAGCCTCTATTTCTTTTTAATTAAACTCTTCAATCAAGCTCCTCCCCCCCCTTGCACGCGCAGGTTTTGTGGCTCCCAGTGTTTTCTTTTCTCTGGGAAATGGGTCCAAGTGGCTCTTTGAGTGTTTAAGGTTGCTCTTAGGGGTTGGGTTGGAGTTGAGGTTAGGGATTGGGGTTAGGGTTTAAAGGTTGTTAGGGTTGGGGTTGGGGTTAGGACTAGGGTTGGGGTTAGAGTCAGGGGTTGAGGTTGAGGTTGGGGTTGGAGTTAAGGGTTGGAGTTAAGGGTTAGGGTTAGGGTTGGGGTTAGGGATTTTCTGTGGGGGTCTTGTCTGGATTGCTTTCCATGTGCCTGAATCTGAATTATGTTATGGGGTGGGCTGAGAGAGCCGTGCTACTCTGCACGTCCTTAACTTACAACAGTTCATTTAGCGACCGTTCAAAGTTACAATGGCACTGAAAAAAGTGACTTATGACCGTTTCAGACTTGCAACATCTCCGTGGTCACGCAACCAAAATGCAGATGTTTGGCAACTGACTCGTCCTTATGACGATTGCAATGTCCTGAGCTCACATGGCCAACTTGGAACCGTTCAATATTAACAACAACAACAACAACAACAACAACAACAGAATTGGAAGGGACCTTGGAGGTCTTCTAGTCGAACCCCCTGCTCAGGCAGGAAACACGATACCATTTCAGACAACACTTTTGCGACTTTCTATCAAGCAAAGTTGATGGGGAAGCCGGATTCGCTTAACAACCATCTTAACTAATTGAACAACTGCGGCGATTCGCTTAACGACCGCGGCAAGAAAAACCGCAGAATGGAACAAAACTCACTCGGCAAATGTTTCACTCAGCAAACAGAAATTTTGGGCTCAGTTGTGGTCGTAAGTCGAGGACTACCTGTACTTTAAAGGTCTTGATAGCCCATCATCCTCGGCCAGTTGGGCCTTAGGGTGGTTGCAGTGCAAACATGGTGGGCTACAAGTTGGGGTATCCTGGCTAGTTTCCATCTCATCTGTAACTCCAAAATACTATCTAGCACAGTGGTTCTCAACCTGTGGGTCGGGACCCCATTTGGGGTCGAACGACCATTTCACGGGGGTCGCCAAACAAGGCTGTCCGCCATTTTTCCCCCCTTTTCTTTGGCCACGCCCGTGGCACCCGGTGATGTATAAGTGGTTGGGGGTCACCACAACATGGGGAACTGTAATATGGGGTCGCGGCATTGGAAAGGTTGAGAACCACTGATCTAGCAGATAATAATGAGGCTTCTGAGCATTTAGTATTTTTTTACTATTATTATTTAAAAATGCATTCAGGGCCCTTTGAAGTTAATCCATCACCAGGATTAACGGTCCCCAGGTAACACTTCAAAGCAAAATACACAACTCCCCAAAAGAGCATCATTCGCATTTAAAAAAATATATACATATTGTTTTTGTTCTTAAAAGAATAGAACAGAAGAGAAACAAAGAGGCTGGAAGTAAGTAATTACTGCTACATTAACGTTTTAAACAGCAGCAGGAGGAGGAAAGAGAATACAAATGGTCTTTAAGCCCATCAAAAGACAGGAAGACCGAGTTGGGACCTTGGAGGTCTTCTAGTCCAACCCCCTGCTCAAGCAGGAGACCCTGTGCCATTTCAGACAAATGGCTATCAAATCTCTTCTTAAAAGCCTCCAGTGATGGAGAAAGGAAAGAGGGAGGGAGGGAGGAAGGAAGGAAGGAAGGAAGGAAGGAAGGAAGGAAGGAAGGAAGGAAGGTCAACAAAATAACAGAGTTGGAAGGGATCTTAGAGGTCTTCTAGTCCAACCCCCTACTCAAACAGGAGACCTTGTGCCATTTCAGACAAATGGCTATCAAATCTCTTCTTAAAAGCCTCCAGTGATGGAGAAAGGAAAGAGGGAGGGAGGGAGGAAGGAAGGAAGGAAGGAAGGAAGGAAGGAAGGAAGGAAGGAAGGAAGGTCAACAAAATAACAGAGTTGGAAGGGATCTTAGAGGTCTTCTAGTCCAACCCCCTACTCAAACAGGAGACCTTGTGCCATTTCAGACAAATGGCTATCAAATCTCTTCTTAAAAGCCTCCAGTGATGGAGAAGGGAGGGAGGGAGGGAGGAAGGAAGGAAGGAAGGTTAACAGAATAACAAGAGTTGGAAGGGACCTTGGAGGTCTTCTAGTCCAACCCCCTGCTGAAGCAAGAGACCCCATACCATTTCAGACAAGTAGCTCTCCAGTCTCTTCTTAAAAGCCTCCAGCGATGGAGCCGCCACAACCAAGAAGAGATACATAGACTTCAAGTGCTCACAAGTTCTCGCTGCTTTATACCCAAAGAATGGGAACGATGTCTCAAAAGTTGCGTTGCAGCCTCCACCCCTTCTGGGTGTACAGGTAGTCCTCGACTTCCAACAGTTCATTTAGTGACCACTTGAAGTTATAATGGCATTGAAAAAAGCGTCTTACGGCCGTTTTTCACACTGACGACCCTTGCAGCATCCCTATGGTCACGTGATCAAAATTCAAACCCTTGGCAACTGGTTCACATTTATGGCGGCTGCAGCGTCCCGGCTTCACGCGATCCCCTTTTGCGACCAGCCAGGTCGATGGGGGAAGCTGGATTCACTTAACAACCGAGTTACAAACTTTAACAACTGCCAAGGATTCACTTAACAACCATGTTACTAAGAGGACAAGGGCAGGGATTCACTTCACAGCCGTGGCGATCAAGGTCATAAAATGAGGCAAAGCTCACAGATGAGCTGGGCTGCATTAACAGAGGGATAGAATCAAGATCACATGAAGTGTTAATACCGCTTTACAAAGCCTTGGTAAGGCCACACTTGGAATATTGCATCCAGTTTTGGTCACCACGATGTAAAAAAGATGTTGAGACTCTAGAAAGAGTACAGAGAAGAGCAACAAAGATGATTAGGGGACTGGAGGCTAAAACGTATCAGGAACAGTTGCTGGAATTGGGTATATCTAGTTTAACAAAGAGAAGGACGAGGGGTGACCAGATAGCAGTCTTCCAATATCTCAGGGGCTGCCCCAAAGAAGAGGGAGTCAAGCTATTCTCCAAAGCGCCCAAAGGCAGGACAAGAAGCAACCGATGGAAACTAACCAAAGAGAGAAGCAACCTAGAACTAAGGAGAAACTTCCTGACAGTTAGAACAATTAACCAGTGGAACAACCTGCCTCCAGAAGCGGTGAATGCTCCAACACTGGAAGTTTTTAAGAAGAGACTGGACAGCCATTTGTCCGAAATGGTATAGGGTTTCCTGCCTGAGCAGGGAGTTGGACCAGATGACCTCCAAGGTCCGTTCCAACTTTGTTATTGTTGTTGTTGTTGTTATTATTATTATTATTACTAAGCCAACGTCTCGCTTGGCAGGAGAAATTTTGGGCTCGGTCACGGTCATAAGTCGAGGACTACCTGCACTTGACAACAGGCTGCCCATCAAGGAGATGCCCAGCCTCCACTGGCATCTCCAGAGGCATCTGAAGAATGAGAAGACACGTGGGGACATGTTGGGCTCAATTCTTAGAGAGGGAAGAATTTTGCAGCTGGGAATTTGCGGTTCAAGTTTTAAATGGGAAGCCATTTCAGCCAGGCTGAATCACCACAAAAACCGGTGGGGCAATTTGGGGGTGTTTCCATTTCAAATCAGCACACGCCAAACCTGATTTCCTTTTTTTTGTTTAAGGAAATTTTTATTGCTTTTCTAGTTTTATGCTCAAATATTTGAAAAGCAACGTGGCAGCTGGGTTGGTCAATAATTCAATAACATACAAATATCTTTAGTACAGATCTCAAAATGTGACATTAAATGTTTCCTCTTTTTCCCTTAGTATTTACTACCTCGTATATAAATTAATATAACTCTTGTTATATCAATTAAATAAAAAATAACTTTCTTATCTTTATCAATAATTTTAGTTTATACATATCTAGTTGTTTTAACCTGATTTCAAGAGCCTTTTAGATCCAACACAGCCTCCTTCACGCTTGCTTAAACGTGATCTTGATAGATTTCACCCCCCTCCGATACATAGGTAGTCCTCGACTTACGACAGTTTGTTTAGTGACCATTTGAAGTTACAGCGCCCCTGAAAAAAGTGACTTATGACTGTTTTTCATGCTAAGGACCGTTGCGGCATCCCCAGGGTCACGTGATCAAAATTCAGATGCGTGGCAACTGACTCATATTTACGACGGTTTGCCATGTCCTGGGGTCACGTGATCCCCTTTTGCAGTCTTCTGACAAACAAAGTCAAGGGAAAGCCAGAGTCACTTAATGACCGTGTTACTTGCTCAACAACTGCAATGATTCACTTAACAACGGTGGCAAGAAAGGTCGTAAAATGGGGCAAAACTCACTTAGCAAATGTCTCACTTAACAACAGAAGTTTTTGGTTCAGTTGAGGTCGTAAGTCGAGGACTATCTGTACTTACGTATACCTTTCTCCCATCACGTGTCGTACAACAACCTCTGCAAAACAGGGATCTTTGCAACTCAAGTTAAGGAAAAAAAAAAACCCACAATTCTGCCTTAACATCCCCAGCAAAATGGTTTACAGGTTGTCCTCACCTTACGACTGGTTGCCTAGCGACTGTTTGAATTTACGACCAACACCAAAAAAGGCGACTTACAACCCAGATTCGAAGTTAACAATATTCGGGCTCCCTCTGTGATCAGGTGACTGAACCTCAGTTGCTCAGCAACGCAGCCCCTTTTACAACCATTTGTCGCATCCCACGGTCACAGAGCCACATTTTACAATGGTTTTGCCCCAAATGGGCACGTATTTCCAGGTTTCGGCAAAACGGCGCCCGTAGCAAACCACTCATATTGCTGGACTGCTGCCGCAAAAAAAAACAGGTCAAAAAATCAGGTCAGTCGCGGAAGGACCAATTTTACAGCTGTCACAACATACTACTGTAATAAGCAGGCTCCATTATCGTCGCATCTCGAGGACTACCTATACAACGACGTTAAAAACAGAAGGGGTTTTTTGTTTGTTTGTTTTGAAGAACTTTCATGATTTTCGAAAAGCAGAGGGTGCGTGAAATGGAGCCCAGCTGAGGAGCACCTTCCAAAGAGGTAGAGAAAAGTCAAGATGGCGGCTGCAGCTGTGCCATCCAAGCCCACCTCTCTTTTACTCGCCCTGCGCAGGCAACACTTATTGAAATAAAAAATAAAAGTCTCCTATCACAACCACCTGACCTTGAGCAGCACCTTGGAGTCCTAGTGGATGATCACTTAAATATGAGCCTGCCGTGTGCAGCAGCAGCCGCCAAAATAGCTAATACAATCCTGGGTTGTATAAACAGAGGCATAGAATCAAAATCTTGTGAAGTATTAGTACCGTTTTATAAAGCCTTAGTAGGGCCACACCTGGAACGTTGCATCCAGTTTTGGTCACCATGTTACAAAAAAGAGGTTGAGACTTTTGGCAAAAAGTGCAGAGAAGAGCAACTGAGACGATTAAAGGCCTGGAGACTAAAACATATGAAGAATGATTGCAGGATTTGGGTTTGGCTAGTCTAGAAAAAAGAAGGACTAGGGCAGTGGTTCTCAACCTGTGGGTCGGGACCCCATTTGGGGTCGAACGACCATTTCACAGGGGTCGCCAAACAACGCAGTCCGCCATTTTTTCCCCCTTTTCCTTAGCTATGCTACTCCCTTTTATTCTATTGGCTTTTGAAAGCCCATAGAATAGACTCTCTTGAATAGAGTCTAATTCTATTGGCTTTCAAAAGCCAATAGGAATTGTCCAGGCTGTCTCTGCCCTGCTGAGCCTGCCAAAAGTCCCATTCTGCAAACTGTGCTGCACCAGTTGAATAGTCCTCGACTTACGACCAGTTGAGTAGTCCTCGACTTAAGACCGGTTGGGGGTCGCGGCATTAAAAAGGTTGAGAACCACTGGACTAGGGTGATAGGATAGCAATATCCCAGTATTTGAGGGGCTGCCACAAAGAAGAGTGGGATCAAAACTATTTTCCAAAGCACCTGAAAGCAAGACAAGAAACAATGGATGGAAATTAATTAAGAACAGAAGCAACCTAGAACTAAGGAGAAACTTCCTAACAGTGAGGACTATTAAGCAGTGGAACGGCCTGCCACCAGAAGTTGTAGGTGCTCCACAACTGGAGGTTTTTAAGAAGTGACTGGACAGCCATATGTCTGAAATGGCATGGGTCTCCTTCTTGAGCAGGGGGTTGGACTAGAAGATCTCCAAGATCCCTTCCAGCTCTTGATTTATTGATTCACTTTTCTGATGCCCCTACAAACAGCCCTGCCCTGATTTTTGCTTTTGAAAACGTACTTTGACTTTTCAGGGTTTTGTCAAGCTGCAGTTATGGTCTGCTTCGTACCTTTGTTTTCAGCATTTGGCCTTTTTCCTAGAATTCATTGTAGCAAAAAAAAAAAAAAAAAAAGGTTTGGCTGAGAAAAATTTTATCAACAAAAGTACACTGAAGTGGATTTTTGGAATGCAGCTTTAGAAACTTAAAAGTAATCTTTTCATTTTTGTATCCAGTGGGGTTTTTGTTTTTTTAATGTAATTAAAGCATTTTTATGTGGTTTGGCATTTTTCCTCCTCAGTTCGGTTATTGATTTACATCCAAAAAGGGTTTCGTGTATTAGTATGTGTGCATTATGCAGCAATAAAATCCTTTTCCACTGTAAAGGTTGATTAGCCTTCGGCCAGGGACAAACTGAACATTGGTTGAAGCAGCTCTGTTACCAAAATCCCCTTAAGCAGAAGTAATACAGGAGCAGTGTAAAAAAAAAAAAAAAGTCATATTGGCAACTGCACAATTGAAGCTCTGCTTTCTTCATACATGCATGAGTAGAGCTTTTTAACTCTATTGGATGAGAAATTTGAAAAAAACAAATGCACAAAACTGAACTAAAGAAAGTACTAAAGCAGGGGTGTCAAACTTCCGGTCCGCGGGCCGAATGTGTCATGCGGCAGCCGCGCCCATCCCATTGCCGGCAATGGCAAAACTGTCCTGATACGTTGCACGACGTCATGTGACGTCGCGAGTTTGACTTGTCTGCACTAAAGTATTAAAACTATAAACAACTTTTAAAAAGAAAAAGGATTCATCATAATAACCGACGAAACAAAATTCTAAACAATCTAAACTTATCACTTATATATCAAATGTTAAACAATATACTGATGAGGTTACCTAGTTGGGTCACGAGACGTCTGCAAGAAAATAGGCAAACTCAGCACGAAGGACCCCACAATCCTCCTCCTCCTCTCTACAAACCGCACTCCCTTCTAGCACTGATGAGGTTACCTAGTTGGGTCATGAAATGTCTCAAGCAAACCACCAAGCACTGAAGACCCCACAGTTCAACTCTGAGCTACAGAGGGTTGAATTCAAGTTAAAGTTGCTGGGTTTGAGAAACACTTTACAGGAACTTCCATAATTCCCTGACCAGCTTGGTGAAGATGGTACCAGGGTGGTCTCTGGAAAAAACGAGTGAAAAAAAACAACCTAGACAACAGTTCAGCCTGTTTTTAAATAAACATCCATGTTTCGTTTCTTTTTCTGCTTTTACTGTCATTTAAACTCCCAAGTAAAAGAATTTTAAAAGAATTTTCTTTTCTTTAGCCGAGACGGCTGATGGAGATGAGAAACTGGACATTTCTCTGCTAGAGGCAGGTAAGTGACACTTATGGTGTGCTTCCTTGTTTTATTTTGTTTAATGTGAGATATACTGTACCACTGACTGTTGGAACTTCTTGGCAGCTTAGCAATAAAAACAAATTTAAAATCGAGAACACTTAAAACAAACAGTGGCAAGCAAGTACGCCTAAAAGCCTGTTGGGAAATAAGTTATTCTGAGGATTTTTAAAAAAGGAAATAAGGAAGGGGTAGGTCTTTATTAGGGACGGCATTCCTGGAACTTGGGCTGGCAGCGGAAAAACAAAGAAGGTTGCCACCAGATGACCTCTCTACAACTGCAGAGGGACCCCTTGAGATCATCTTCAGCAGCAGAGAGGTTCATAGAGAAAGAGGTCCTCTCTTGGACCGCCTGCAGCTCAGCCATGGAGGGCTTCAGAGCTCATGACCAGTCCAGGAAAACAACTGGCGCAGATGTACTGTGGCCTCTGGGTTTGTCTAAGACAGGGGTAGGCAACCTTGGCTCTTTTATGACTCGCGGACTTCAACTCCCAGAATCCCCTGAGCCAGCATGGCTCAGCTTGGAAACCTCTCCCTTTCCCCTCAGCATGGCTGGCTCAGGAATTCTGGGAGTTGAAGTCCACAAGTCATAAAAGAGCCAAGGTTGCCTATCCCTGGTCTAGGCCTAGGCTGCTTTCTGACTCGCAGACTTCAACTCCCAGAATTCCTGAGCCAGCATGACTCAGCATGGAAACCTCTCCCTTTCTCCTTAGCACGGCTAGCTCAGGAATTCTGGGAGTTGAAGTCCACGAGTCATAAAAGAGCCAAGGTTGCCTACCCCTGGTCTAAGAGTAGACCAATTGCCAACTCTTGTCCCAACTGATTCCTGGATTAGATGCTTGTCAAGAATATGCCTTGTACCAATAAAGGGGAATATTTGTAATTTGGAGTTGAAATGAGGAGGTCCCAGGTGCTCTCTTGAGCTTGGTTCTTTTCTTGCGGGCGTTTCATTACCCAACTAGGTAACATCATCAGTGCTAGAAGGGAGTGGGGCTTATGGAGAGCAGGAGAAGTAGTAGTAGGAGGAGGAGGACAATGACTGTAGGATCCTTGATGTTCTCTGAGCTTGGTGGGTTTCTTGCGGGCATTTCATTATCCCAATTTGGTAGCATCATCAGTGCTAGAAGGGAGTGGGGCTTATGGAGAAGAGGAGGAGGAGAGGGAGGAGGAGGAGGGGGAGGAGGAGGACTGTGGGATCCTTGGTGTTCTCTGAGCTTGGTGGGTTTCTTGCAGACGTTTCATTACCCCAACTTGGTAACATCATCAGTGCTAGAAAGGAGTGGGGTCATATTATATATAAACCGAGAGCAAACCTTACTCCCTTCTAGCACTGACGATGTTATCTAGTTGGGTAATTAAACGTCTGCAAGAAAACCACCAAGCTCAGAGAGCAACAAGGGCATCCTCAATACACATGAAGAATTATAGTTCCTTAAAATGCTAATTTTCAACTTTTAACTCTTTTTTTTTCAGGTTCCCTCCTCGAAGCCACGCCTTCTGCGCCAGTCTTTCATTAGCGTGTTCCAACCTTGATTCAAGATGATGCCAGGAACCTCTCTAGATTACTTCACTATCCGTGTTCTCCTGTTTCACGATCTCCGATCAATTATTATTATTTTTTCTCATGCTTTCCTAACGTGGATAATAATTAAGCGACGAATCACTTTTCCTTTCGATTGAATCAGAATAACTAGATTTGTTCAGTAGAGAGGCTCTAGTGCAATTAGTCTGGTAACCAATGTGATAGGATGAATTTTGATTTTATGGTGGCTTTTTCCCACATCAATACATACTCGCTGGCTATTCCATTTACCTAGAAAAAAAATGAAAAGTTAAAGTTTCCTCTTAATCTTAGCAAGTAGCTCCTAACACCTCAATTTCATGTAGAGTTTTTGGTGCAGAAGTCATGGGATCAAAAATAAAACTTCTAAGACATTTAATGACTCTTAATTTAACGAGTTTCTGAGTTGAGCCTTTGCTCCACAAGGTAAATTCCTACTTGGATGAAATCATTAACTTTTTTTTTTCAGAAGCCGAATTGCTGTCATTGTATTTGATCATAAGATGTCAATATTCATAGCAATGTCACGCTTAATTCATATCAAATGCTCCTAAAGATGACAAATTGTTTTCCATATTTTGCCAATCCCCTTAGTTTTTCTGTGATAAAATTTGAGTCTCGAAACAGATAAAATTTGAGTTCCCAAAAAGAGTATTTCAAGAATAATTAATAAAATCATTGAGTTGGAAGGGACCTTGGGGGTTATCTAGTCAACCCCCTGCCCAAGGCAGGATTCTGGCCAGGGGTATCAAAAGCACTCCAATATGATCCCATGATAGTTGTCCAGTTGGTCAAGACAGGATGTCCATGTCTTCCTCCTTGCCTAATTCCTCAAGTGCTCTTCTATATCCAAGGAGAACATGCATACAGACACGTATCATAGTTTCCCTTCTTCCTTTTGTCCAGCATCTCAATACAGGTAGCCCTAGACCAGGGGGTAGGCAACTTTGGCTCTTTTATGACTTGTGGACTTCAACTCCCAGAATTCCTGAGCCAGCATGGCTCAGCTTGGAAACCTCTCCCCTTCCCCTCAGCATGGCTGGCTGAGGAGTTCTGGGAGTTGAAGTCCACGAGTCATAAAAGAGCCAAGGTTGCCTACCTCTGGCCTAGGCCTAGGCCGCTTTATGACTGGTGGACTTCAACTCCCAGAATTCCTGAGCCAGCATGGCTCAGCTTAGAAACCTCTCCCTTTCCCTTCAGCATGGCTTGCTCAGGAATTCTGGGAGTTGAAGTCCACGAGTCATAAAAAAGCCAAGGTTGCCTACCCGTGCCCTAGACTTACAACAGTTCGTTTAGCGACTGTTTGAAGTTAAACAGCACTTAAAAAAGTGATTTACGACCGATTTTCACACTTACAAACCACTGAGTCATCCCCATGGTCACATGATCAAAATTCAGAGGCTTGGCAACTGACTCGTATTGATGACGGTCGCAGTGTCCCAGGGTCACGTGATCCCCTTTGGCGACCTTCTGACCAGCAAAATCAATGGGGGGAAGCTGGATTCACTTAACAACCGTGTTACTAACTTAACAACGGCAGTGGTTTACTTAACTGTGACAAGAAAAGTCACAAATGTCTCCCTTAACCATGGAAATCTGGGGCTCAGTTGTGGTCGTAAGTCAAAGACTACCTCTGATCTTGGCTGGTCCACGCACTTAAGTCTGTAATAGTTGGGCAGGAATAAAGAGTGAAAATATAGATTCTTTAGTGCTGCTCACACGATACGTTGTACAAGCTGATTGGCCACTTGTAGACATTTTTCTCGTGTAGGTTTGCTTTCTGCCACCTTTGAGGAGAAAGACTTACACAGAAGTGAGAATTTCCTAATGGTGAGAGCCATCAACCAATGGAACAGCTTGCCTTCAGAAGTTGTGGGTGCTCCATCACTGGAGATTTTCAAAAAGAGACTGGACAACCATTTATTTGACATGGTTTAGGGCAGTGGTTCTCAACCTGTGGGTCGGGACCCCATTTGGGGTCGAACGACCATTTCACAGGGGTCGCCAAACAACGCAGTCCGCCGTTTTTTCCCCCTTTTCCTTAGCTGTGCTACTCCCTTTTATTCTATTGGCTTTTGAAAGCCAATAGAATAGACTCTCTTGAATAGAGTCTAATTCTATTGGCTTTCAAAAGCCAATAGGAATTGTTCAGGCTGTCTCTGCCCTGCTGAGCCCGCCAAAAGTCCCATTCTGCAAACGGTGCTGCACCAGTTGAGTAATCCTCGACTTACAACTGGTTGGGGGTCACGGCATTAAAAAGGTTGAGAACCACTGGTTTAGGGCCTCCTACTTCAACGGGGGGTTGAACTAGAAGACCTCCAAGGTCCCTTCCAGCTGTATTATTCCATGTTCTATGAGTCTTTGAGAAGCCTCTGTATAACATGCAGATTACCTGGATGCATACAGGAGTAAAAAAAAAAGGCATTTTATTCTCTCTTTGATGAACTAAGAACCCTCAACTCTGTGCACCTGGTTAGTTTCCATTCTCCTTTGTTTTGTAAACTGGGTGGATTGGGAATTGTGAGAACTTAGTAGAAAATTTTCGGAGGATACAACCTTGAGGAGATTCTTTCCATCTGCATACATTTCTGTTCCTTATTCTATCCCTTAAGAGCCGAGAAGATATTTGGGGGTCTACGTTCATATTTCTCTTTTCAAACAAAAGCTGGCAGGAATATGTCTGCCACTCTCCACTATCTTCAACACATTCTGATATCTCACAAGCATTTTTTGTTACTTTTGAAGATCTCAGTGTCTTCTATGTTCTATGTGAGAATGTCTGGTCATATCTTAGATCGGGGGTATCCAACCTTGGTCACTTTAAGACCTGTGGACTTCAACTCCCAGAATTCCTCAGCCAGCCATGATGCTGGCTGGGGAATTCTGGGAGTTGAAGTCTACAGGTCTTAAAAGTGGCCCAGGTTGGACATCCCTGTTTTACATGAAGGGTTAATGCCACGTACCGTCATAGACATCTCTAGTAGAGTCTAATGGTGTGTTTAGGAATCCTCTTTTCAGCTTGCTAAAAATAATAGTTTCTGCAGCTCAATAATGTTTTTATAAATTTTTAAACTTAATATTCAGTACAACCAATTTATCACTGAAATGTGGCTGTCTTTTTCTTGATGATCTGATAAACCTGGCTAGGGCTATAGTCTTTAAGGATCCCACATCCTCTTTTTGAGGCCGATGGGATTTTTTTCCTCCATGAATGAAAATTCTTGGCCTTTTCTGTAAATCCTCAAATGGGGGCGTACGTATTATAACCATTAACCAACAATCAGCAGTTTTATGAATCTTAAGAAAAAAAAATTGTACTCGTGTTGACTTTAACTGTGACTAATGTTAAAACTTTTTTCCAGGAGTCTTTTTTTATAGGTTTTATTATTAGAGAAAAAAAAATCATTCCATATTTAGGTAAAAGTCTCAATCTTATGTATATATGTTTTATTAATATGTACATATTTAGCTATTTTTTAAATTACTATGTTCTTAATAAAACCAACAAGGGACTAGTTGTGAAATAGTGCATAAGATTGTGTCGTGTTATCAATCTCTGGGAATCTCTCTTTGTCAAGTTCAGCAAAATAATGATGATGATAATAATAATAAATTGCTCTAATTTAATCAGAGTCCTTATATTTATTTTGACAGATTGGTTTTTTTTTTAATTACAAATTTTGAAATAATGATTTAAATCTCTGTCCGATTTCTTTCTGTCAGTGTCATGTTGTTACTAAAGTAAAAGGATGGTGAATCCATTGTCTACCATCCAGAAAATTAGCAATAAGGCTAAACTAACTGCCCCAAAGGCAGAATTAAATTAGTAGCAAATTTCATCCCTTTTACAAACAAGCAAAACGCTTGTTTGTAGAAGGGATGAAATTTGCTATTAATTTATAATATGGGAATGACTTGTCCAGTTAACACAGGATGGGGCGAACAAAAACAAGTGTGGTTTTGTTTATTTAAATAATGGCACACCGTGATTGTGTGGTACCTAAGAAAAGGCAAGGTACAGGTAGTCCTTGACTTACAACAGTTCATTTAATGACCGTTCAGAGTTACAATATCATAGAAAGTTGGCCTTGGGCTGTAACAATAAATTGATTGATTGAATATCATAGAAAAAAGTGACGTATGACTATTTTTCACACTTAATGACCGTTGCTGCATCCCCAGGTCACATGATCAAAATTCAGATTTTCGGCAACTGTCCCATATTTATGATGGTCACAGTGTCCCCAGGGGTCATGTGATCCCTTTTTGCGATCTTCTGACAAGCAAAGTCAATGGGGAAGCTGGATTCACTTAATAAGTTAGTGTCACTAACTTAACCACAGTGATTCACTTAACAATTGTGGCAAGAAGGGTTGTAAAATGGGGCAAAACTCACTTAAGAAATGTCTCACTTCTTCTTCTTGTGCCATATCCATTATCAAACGTTGGCGATCATGTTGGCGATCCTGTTTTTATCAGCAGCCGCACGAAAAAGTGCTGCAGAGTTTTGTCCAAACCGGTCCCTTAGATTTTGAAGCCACGATCTTCTTCTTCGGCCTGGACCTCGTTTGCCTTCAATCTTTCCCTGGAGGATTAAATGGAGTATGCCGTATTTTTCTGGGTGTCGCGTCACGTGTCCGAAATATTCTAATTTTTGCTTTTTAATTGTTTTGATGATTTCCCTTGGCTTTCCCAGGCGGCTTATCGCCTCCTCATTTCTGATCTTGTCAACCCAGCTTATACTTAACAGCCGCCTGTAAATCCACATTTCAAATGCTTTTAGTCTCTTCAGGTGGCCTTCTGTCAGAGACCAACTCTCTATTCCAGTGGTTCTCAACCTGTGGGCCGGGACCCCATTTGGGGTCGAACGACCATTTCACGGGGGTCACCAAACAACGCAGTCTGCCATTTTTTCCCCCCTTTTCCTTAGCTGTGCTACTCCCTTTTATTCTATTGGCTTTTGAAAGCCAATGGAATAGACTCTCCTGAATAGAGTCTAATTCTATTGGCTTTCAAAAGCCAATAGGAATTGTCCAGGCTGTCTCTGCCCTGCTGAGCCCGCCAAAAGTCCCATTCTGCAAACGGTGCTGCACCAGTTGAGTAGTCCTTGACTTACGACCGGTTGGGAGTCGTGGCATTAAAAAGGTTGAGAACCACTGCTCTATTCCATAGCAACAAAAATTTTGAGCTTGGTTGTCGAGGACTACCTGTACGTTTTATCTCGCCAATCAAACATGGGACCTTTACAAAATGGGTTGCCCATAAGAACAATACACTTGGGGAGGAATAAGCCACGTATGAGTTTGTGCAAAACAGGGACAAGGGGATAACACGCATTAAGAAACAATTCCTAGAAAACGGCTTAGAGCAGTGA